TAAAGCCCTTCCTGAGGAAGCCAACCATCCATAACAAGAAAAGTCACTGAATCTGGCTTACAGAATAGCACAAAAATAACGCAGTATGACATGGAATCTAAACTCTAGCTAACCAGTTCAAATTTGACTCAGCCTCATTGTGGTCAGAAGTCGCTGCAAGCAGATGTTTGATCAGTCACTCATTGGAAGTTAGGTTTATTTTTTGGAGAGAGAGGGAAGCCTTGTCCAGATCCTAACAGACAGGTATCTATATAAAAGGCTGACTAGACTGGCAGTTTCAACAGTGACTAGCTGCCTATGGGCACCACACAAAAATAGTGAAGCCACTATGCCCCAGCCTTGCTCTGGATGGGCTCGAACTCAAAGCGAAAGGGTAGTTACAGCTCCATGCGTATTCTTTGTTTGGTCTTTACAAGCAAGGTTCCAGCAATGATATTTTTTGTGACACCTCTTTACCAAGAGCTATAATAATTAATTGCTCCATTCAAGATGTACCTGGATGTGGCTGCTCCTTTTTTTTCTGCCTCAGGCAGCCATTGATAGACGACAATGAGTGCCTGCCTAAGGCAAGAGTCCAACTTGAAGCAATTATGTGGTCTAAACCAATATTTTGCTGTAATTACAGCTTTAGTGGCTGCCAATAGTGGCAGTGCTGGAGCCATGAAGGCAGAAGAAACTACTGGGTTACATGCTGAGTGATTCTGTTCCTCTAATGCTATCCAAACAGGAAGAAGAATTTTTAAAGTGATGCCTCTGAGGGACAGGAACAGATTCCTGGAATAAGAAGGTTCCATGATAGTTGGAAATGACAGTTGAGATCTGGGCCCCCCTGGCTGATAAAAGCTGCTCTCATGGGATCTGTTTGGAGGCTAATTGTCAGCAAATTGGGAGTGGGGGGCTGAATAGAAAATCTGGTACAAAATACTTTGAATTTTTGGGAAAGTTCTGAACCAGCCTATATCTGTCTATGAACTCTCTCTGTTTGGTAATTACAATTATTATAACCTGTACCTACAGCACAGTCTCTGATATCTTACTGTAACAATAATGAAGAGGAAATCAACTAAGATCACTAAAGGTGTAAATAAACAGTGGGGAAAGATGGGCCTTTTTCTTTTTAATTCTTGGTAAGAATTTCAGTGCCTTCAGTGTAGTTTTCAAACAATGAATCAATAGAGGCTGGAGTCATGTCAGATATTATGAACCGTTTGGATAATGGTGTTTGAACTGATCTTTACATAGATGCATGTGTATCATTCCAATGTTTCCTGCTAGTGGTAGGAATTATTTCACTAGAAAGCTACCTAGACAGAAAAGTGGGAAGGCTTATTTTTAAGAAATGGGTCCCACTAAAAACAAGATGACTTCCCATCACTGCTCTGTCTACTACCCACACAGCTGGGAGGCAGAGTCTTAACTCATTGTGTGTAAGCAGACATCTTTCCAGGGGCTTGAAATTACTAAACTCTGAACTGTTTTTTTTTAAATACCAATTGTGGTTTTAGGCCATGTGGATTACTCTCTGTAAAGTGGTGTACAATTCAAAATATGGTGGTATTCAGACCTTAAAATTAATAACGGGAATAATTGTCGCTTAGATACTTATTTAGGCCTAGGGGAAAATCTTTTAGATCTGCACTGCATCACTGTCTCCAGTGACCTGCTCTCATGCTGTCCTAACATTATAAGGCCACTAGGCCAGAGGGACCACTGTAATCATCTAGTCTGCCTGCCTGCATTAACACAGGCCATAGGACTTCCCTGAATTCATTTCTGTTTGAACTAGAGCATATCTTTTAGGAAAAACACTGAATCTTGATTTTAAAAATGCCAGTGATGCAGAATCTAGCACAACCACTGGCATTTTGTTCTAATTGTTAATTATCCTCACTGTTAAAAACTTGTTTTATTTCTAATCTGACTTTGTCTAGCTTCAATTTCCAGCCACTGGATCTTGTTATACCTTTGTCTGCCACACTGAAGAGACAATTATCAATTTTTGTTCTGCATGTAGGTATCTATAGGCTCAAGGAGCTCAATCACTATAGGGGCATGTTTTCCTTTTTTATCCATTCTTTTTATAAAAAAATCTTATAAAAATTGTTATTGAACTTAAACAGAGAGAAACTTAGTATATAAACAATTATCAATTGGCCTATGGAAGTCCCCAAGCTGTAGATCCATCAATGGCTATTAGCCAGGATGGATAAGGATGCAACATCAGGGATGCTCTGAGTGTCTCTACCTGTTTGCCAAAACCTGGAAGTGGATGATGGGATGGATCACTTCATGATTACCTGTTCTGTTCATTCCCACTGAAACACCTGTCATTGGCCACAGTCAGAAGATAGGATAAGGGGATAGATGGACCATTGGTCTGACCCAATATGGCCATTCTTATGGTCTTATTGGCTAGACATACCAATCACTTTCTTCAATTTTGTGGAATTGATCACATATTATTGATGATTTTCTCCTCTTCATCCCTTTCTCCTCTTCTTCCCCTTCTGTCTTGCCAGTAGATCATTTCTGTTAGTCTTTATCTCCTACTTAGGTCCAAACTTTTGTTTTCCTTACATTTAAATATGTAAACTTTTTATTGTCCTATAAAAAAACTTTTTGTGATATTTTTTCTCCTTGTGTTTTGCTTATTTTAATATTTTGAATTTAATTTTGACTGAAGGGATTTCTCATTTCCTTAGTTTGAGAACTTTTTTTGAATACTATCAGGTTTGATGGTGAGGGATGACCCTCTTCCAGTAAACTCCAAAAAAATTCCACCATTTTAATGGGGTCACCAGGGCTGACTTAAAATTGCTGGGGCCCGGGTCCCAAGCCCAAGGGCTTCAGCCCTGGGTGCCGGGGCTAAGATTACAGGCCCCCTGTCTGGGGCTGACTCCCGTGGGCTTCAGCTTTGGCCCTCACCCCCTGGGATGGTGGGGCTTGGTCAGGCTTAGGTTTCGGTCCCCCCTCCTGGGGTCCTGTAGTATTTTTTGTTGTCAGAAGGGATTTGCGGTGCAATGAAGTTTGAGAACCCCTGGTTTAGAATATAATTGCCTCCAATGCATTTGTCAGGACTCTGCCTATACCAAAGATTTAATTACTCCCAGTGAATGCTTCCAACAAGTGGTGGCCAAAAGCGTCTCAGAACTTGTTTTTAAAATGAAAAATGGTTTTTGACTACATTTTTTGTGTGAAAGTTTCTATCTTTATCTAATGACAGGTTTCAGAGTAGCAGCCGTGTTAGTCTGTATCCGCAAAAAAAAGGAGTACTTGTGGCACCTTAGAGACTAACAAAAATATTTGAGCACAAGCTTTCGTGGGCTACAGCTCACTTCATCGGATGCACAGAATGGAACATATAAGTGAGGAGATATATATACATACAGAGAACATGAAAAGGTGGGAGTTGCCCACTCTAAGAGGCTAATTAATTAAGATGAGCAGGAGGAGGAGGATTATCAGCAGGAGGAAAAAAAGTTTGTAGTGATAATCAAGATGGCCCATTTGAGACAGTTTGACATTGAATCTATTTCCCCATGTTAAATATCCTCACACCTTCTTGTCAAACTGTCTCAAATGGGCTATCTTGATTATCACTGCAAACTTTTTTTCCTCCTGCTGATAATAGCTCATCTTAATTAATTAGCCTGTTAGAGTGGGCAACTCCCACCTTTTCATGTTCTCTGTATGTATATATATCTCCTCACTTATATGTTCCATTCTATGCATCCGATGAAGTGGGCTGTAGCCCACGAAAGCTTATGCTCAAATAAATTTTAGTCTCGAAGGTGCCACAAGTACTCTTGTTCTTCTTTATCTAAAATGTTTGTTTTTTGTCAAAGCATTTTTGGGGGTTTTCTGATTGAAAAATTTCAAATACAAAATTTTTCAATCCTGCCAAAATATTAAATTACCATGTGAGCTCTATCCCATTCTATTCGCAGTGATCTCATTGGTGCTGGGAAAGAGGCATGCATGGGGGACAGGACTGTGAGAACTGAGTGAGGGTTATACAAATACTCATGCAACATGGTCCTCTATAAAGCCCATAGTTAATGTTACCATAAACTCAACACATTGGATATAAGGAGCTTTGGGTGATGTGAGCCAGAGCACATCTTTCCATGGTAGGTAGGTACCTCCAGTGCTTAATTTGTGCCAGGGCTGAGCCCTGCTGCTTCCAGGCTTGGCAGTTCATAGCCCCAGTGCCATAGGTGGTGTGTATAAGAGGCTGTGGGAGGCCTCCCCCAAAAGGACTAGCCATGCAGGAGGACAAATGCCATGGATGCTGTGCAGATCACCTCCTTGTGGAGACATGCTAGTTTACTGCTTTTGGAGTGCCAGAAACAATGCTCCCTAGAAGTGGGGGGCTGGGCAGGGGAGTGAGCAGTGAGGGGCTTCAGGGGAAGAGGCAGAGTGGGGTGGGGCCCGGCTACAGGCAGCAGTGGCCCCCTCACTTCTAGGGAACTTCTGGTGGTGAAGCCTTTCCCACCAGAAGATTCGTGCAGTACCTGTGCCCAGCACATCAGGGCTTGCTGTATCAATTATGAAAGTTAAAAAACTGTTTGAGCCCCAGCAACTGAAAGCACTGGGTCCCTTTGTCTACTTGGTAGGGGGAGCCTGCCTCAGTTTCTCTTCATCCTGCCCCCAGGGTAAGTCCTAACTTTTCTCTGGTGGGCCTGCTGTTTGTGGCTGGGGGTGGATTAGAGCCTCTAATGTAGAGGAGCCTGGGCTGAGCAGAAAGGCGAAGGGGATTTGGCTTTGGCACGTGTACAAGTGACAGGTCAGGGGCCACCAGGAGGGCCGCTAGCCGAGGGGATACTGTTGGGGTAAGGGGCAGAGGCTACCCCGGAGGACCATGCTGTTTGCCCACTGTTCCGCCTTTAGGTGCGCACGTAGCCACGCCCCCAGTTTCCAGGGTGACTGTCCCACAGGCTGCTGCGCTTGCGCAGGGAGTTGCTGCTGTGCTCGAGCTCACGTAGACGCAGCGTGGCCAGCAGCTGTGGCCGCCTCCCCATCCGCGGGCGGAGCGACCCGGGCCCCGGCCGATATAAAGAGTTCGAAGAGGCCCGGCGACTCTTGGGCTGCGCCACACAGCAGGTCCTACCGCGTCTACCCTCGGCTCGGCTCGGCGCAGGGAGAGCGGGGCCCAGCAGAACCAGCCAGCAGCCTCCTTCCCTCAGGTGAGGCGCCATCCTACCTGCTGTCCCGCCCCGCCCCGCCCCCGGGGCGTGAGGGGAGCCGCGGGCGGCCTGGCCCCGCCGAGGTGGCCTTTCTGGGGAGTCTCTTCCCTTGGGGCCGGGGCTGCTTATCCCTCGCGCCTGCTGTCGTCAGGCGCCTGCTCCACCCGCGGGGGTTTGCGGCGGGCCGGACCCACCGGGTACCGGGAGTAGCGGGGGTGGGGTGTTAAAAGTGGCGAGAGCTCAAGGGGCTCGAGAGAACCTGTGCGGTCCGGAGCTGGTCCGAGGGTCTTTTCTGGGCCGTGAGCCGCGCCAGCAGCCTTCTCGGGCCCAGCTGGAAGGGGGTGTCCAGGCAGATGAAGTCATCCACCCACTTTAGGACCTCCCGCTGATCCCGAATCTTCTTTCCGTGAAGGAAGCATATTTGCAGCAGATTATTCTGCGTATTGATCGGGTTAAGCACGTGTTTGCTACTTCTGAAATGGGATCAGATTTCTTCTCTAGTCAAGCGCAGTTATGCAATGGATTATCCATCTATATTCTTAGCCTGTGCCCATTGTCATGGCACCAGAGTGCATATTATATATATTTGTTTAAACAAGAATACTGTAGCCTGAGGTTACACAGATGGGTTTTCCTTGTAATTCCTGAGTTCCAGTCTTTAGCAGACTGAATTGCATTGGGGCAGTTTAAAGCAGTTTCTTTAAATTAGAAGCGGAAAAAACTTGTAGTAATAAGCTTTTGGGCTATTTTATTTGTGCATCAGGTGCTAGAAATATGTTTTTATGCTGAACTCTGTAGAGTGATCTCTTTGCAAGTCAGTGGAAAAGACGAGAATCAAGAATTAGTTGTTGCAAGCAAGGATTACATACTATACATAATTTTTACTCTCTAGTTTATTTTAAAGAGGTGTAGTTCTTTTTTTGAGTTTCCTATTTGAAAGAAATTTGGAGAGATGAAATGTCCATTACGTGAGTGGGGGAGGAGTGATACGTGGCAGTAGCATTCTTTCACTAACCTTTTGCTTGCTTTATAAACTTCTGGAAAGAAGTTTTTCATTTCCCCTATTTACAGTTAGTGTTGCATAATATGAATAAAGAGCATGCAATTTAATCAAAAAATATACAGATGTGAAAAACCTGACATTGCATAAATCCCATTACTTTCTTCTAATTTTTGGTCACTAGTATTTTTTCAGAGAAAGCGGTTACTCCAAGCTATTTGTGATTTATCAGGAACTGTTAGTCTAAGCAGTTCTTATTTTGAGAAGTTTAAAGTTGCATCACCCTCTCAGTTATCAGAGACTAAATAGAATTTACACTGAGTTTTGTAGGAACAAAAGTACATTTAAACAGACTTCCGTTATGTACGTATGGTGTTAAAAGCAAAATAGAAATGAGATTTTAAATGTAACTAGATTTAATTGTAGCTTATGTTTAAGTGGGAATATGAAATGTAGCCGATGATTGGGTCAGTAGAAGCTTTGCATATATCCTATTTTTATCTTGTGGCAAGTAATTTAATTGCTAGAGGCTTGGTAATTTATTTTCATGTTTAAGATCCTGAAAAAGACCACTTCATTCATTCTGACCATAACTTTGTAATGCAGTACTTTCCAAACTAGCACTGGATGTAGGTTACAGAGGCAACTTTTTTTCTGCTTGTAAGGCTGGGTCTACACTATGAATCTTACAGAGGCACAGCTCCTGCCAGCCACTCTTTGCTGGCGGGGGAAGAGCTCTCCTGCCGGCATAATTAAACCACCTCCAACGGAGCTCGCAGGTATGCCATTATAGCTTAGACACTACTGCGATGGATCGACCTGGCTGTGTCTACAGTGGGGGTTAGGTTGGCCTAATGACAACGCACAGGGTGTGAAGTTTTTCACAGCTCTGAGCAATGTATTTAGGTTGATCCAAGTTTTAGGTGTAGACCAGGCTGTAATGTAGGTTGGAGCTAAGGCAGAAGAAAATATCAGACTAGATGTACCTTTTTAGTAATACTGTTGTATGAATATACAAAAATTCAGAAGGTTTGAAGCAAATTATTGTACTTACCCAGCTAAAGATGACTGAGAAAACCTCTGATGTTTGTTTATAGTAAATGCATCAAATGTTTTACAAATATATTTTTTAACTTCCACTTGTGAGCTGGTGGGTTGCCTAATAGGCCTATGCATTGCTGTAAAGAAGCCCTGTGTTCCCTTCCTGCTCACTCCATTAGTTTGGGGCTGGGAGTCTGCAGAAGCAATGTAGTCAGTCTCAAGGAGATAGTTTGTTCTGCACTGCTTGCTATGAATCCCTTTGTCAAATTAGGTCCTGCCTATATATGAGAGATTTCCACTAGTGTAGTGAAATCAATGCAAACCCCTGCATAGCTATAATGCACTGCATAGCTTTAAAATGGGGCTTATACTTGTGTTAATAATCTGATCCTATACTGGTTCAAGGTAATTGCACCACCATAAGCCGTGCTCTTACATCTGTGTAGTGTAGCTACATTAGGGATTTGCATTGATGTAACTACTCTAATATAGACAGGGTGTAAATCTTACTCCTGGGGGAATTCTGTGCCAAAAAATTAAAAATTATGCACATGCGATTTTAAAATTCTGCAAATTTTATTTGTCAAAATAACAGTATATAATCACTCCAGTTTCTGTTATTTTGGTAATTTATTTCAAAATACTTTACCAAAGTATGACTGTAACAAATAAGACACACACACACACACACACACACACACACACACACACACACACACA